GCCCCGTCGCCGCCCTTTCAGCAGCCAGTCGCCGCCCTTTCAGCGGCCTGTCGCCGCCCTTTCAGCGGCCCCGTCGCCGCCCTTCCGCGGCCCCGTCGCCACTCAGCCACCCAGCGCCAGAGCCGCCGAGCCGCCCAGCCGCCGAGCAGCCGAGCCGCCGAGCAACCGAGCCGCCAAGCAGCCGAGCCGCCGAGCAGCCGAGCGGCCCTGCAGCCGAGCCGCCCGACCGCCGAGCCGCCCTGCACCCGAGCCGCCCGACCGCCGAGCCGCCCAGCAGCCGAGCCGCCGAGCCGCACCGCAGCCGAGGCGCTGCCGCCTGTCGGCCTGCCCGGGACAGCCCCACTTGCCTGGTAAGAGCAGCGCCTCTACCACTTCACTGCCCTGCCCCACTGTACTCACTGCCTGTCTACAACTGTCATGGCCTCCCCTAGTGTTCTGACCTTAGACGCTGAGAGTCGGGCAGTTGACTTTGAGGTCTGGGTAGATGATCTGCAGCTTTTCCTACAGTGCGATAGGGCAGACAGTCTCTCCCTGTTTGACCTCAAATCTGGTGCCTCTCCTACCTCTGCTGCTGATGCTGACGCCACTGTTCGCTCACAGTGGGCCACGCGTGATGCTTCTGCTCGCCTTGCTGTGCGCCGCCACTTACCGACCACTGAGCGTGCACACTTTAGCCAGTACAAGAGTGCTCAGACCTTGTACGACGCTGTAGTTGCACGCTACTCTTCCCCTACCACTGCTGCACTAAGCCGCCTCATACTACCGTACCTCTTCCCTGACCTTGCTGCCTTTCCCACAGTCGCTGACCTCATTACGCACCTCCGCACTAGTGACACTCGCTACCGCGCTGCGCTTCCTGCTGAATTCTGCGCCAAGAACCCCCCCCCCCCCATGTACATCACCCTCTACTACATAGTCACCCGGCTCCCTGACTCTCTCCGCGTAGTCAGGGACCACTTCCTCTCAGTTTGCCCCACCACTCTCACCGTTGACCTCCTCGAGAAGGCCCTCCTAGCACCAGAGAAGAGTATAGTCGCTGTAGGAGCCTCTCGTGGTGACCCTCGCACCCCCGTCTTTGAGGGGTGTTCTCCCTCCCCCCTCTTGCCCTCTGTTGTCTCTGCTGCTGCGGCCGACCTCGTTGGTTTTGAGTCTGTCGGCGCTGCGTCTGCCCTGAGCGGGGAGACGCCGCACCGGCAAGGGCAAGGGGGGCAAGGGCGCTGGAGGGGCTGGCGGGGGCGGTGGAGGTGGTGGTGGAGGCAGTGGAGGGAGTGGGGGTGGTGGTGGGAGTGGTGCCGGGGGTGGCGGCGGCGGCGGCAGCAGTGGAGGCGGCGGAGGCGGCGGTGGTGGCGGAGGGAGCGGAGGCGGCGGAGGTGGCGGAGGAGGCGGAGGTGGAGGAGGCGGCGGAGGCTGGCGGCGGCGGCGGCGGCGGCGGTGGTGGAGCGGGTCGCGACTCTGCGCAGAGGAGTGGCTCAGGTGGTGGTCCGCGCCAGCAGCAGCGGGGTGGTGTGACCCTGTCCCCTCTGCAGCTTCGTGAGTGGTACACAGCGCGCCAGCGCGGTGGGGGTTTTGGTCCCTACACTTACGTCCTCCGTACCGGTGACCGAGCTGGTGAGCAGTGCGAGGGCCCGCACTCCACCCAGCGCTGCTTCGGTCGCATGACGGACGCGTGGGGAGATCTCTCTAGGGCGGGGGTTGCCGTCTTTGATCTTGACTATGATGCTATCCTTGCTGCCATGTATTCTATGACTACTAGTGTTGAGGGTGACTGTTACTTGTGTGTACCGCTTGACCCGGGCATTGAGGCCACTGCTCTAGGTGCTGGTGAGGCTGCTGCTCTAGGTGCTAGTGCGTCTGCTGCCCCAGGTGCCAGTGCGTCTGCTGTCCCAGATGCCAGTGCGTCTGCTGCCCCAGGTGCTGGTGAGTCTGCTCTCTCAGGTACTACGTCGGCTCAGGCCTTCCACACCTTCACCCTTGACTCGGGTGCGTCCCGCTCCTTCTTTCGAGACCGCACCACTCTTACGCCGCTCAGTCGGCCGGTTGTAGTCTCCCTGGCAGACCCCTCTGGGGGTCCTGTCCTTGCTAGCTTCTCCACTGTCATACCGTGCCCAGCAGCCCCCTCTGGCACCCTGTCAGGTCTCTACCTCCCCTCGTTCTCTACAAACTTGGTGAGTGGAGCGGACCTACAGGATAGGGGGGTTGACCAGTTCACTCCTGCGAGTCAGCGAGTGACCCACTGCACGTGTGCTCGGATAGGCCGACACTTGGCCACGTTCACTCGTCGGCCGGGGTCGAGCCTGTACACCCTTACTACTGAGTCTCCTCCGGCTGCAAAGTCTGGCCAGGTAGCTGCGTCGAGTCAGGTGTTTGCTGTAGCGTCCAGGTCTGGTCTTGAGTCTGCTCCCTGCTCGTGTCGTCTCCTGTCTCACCAGACTCTCCTCTGGCACCACCGCCTTGGTCACCCCTCCCTGCCTCGTCTCCGAGGCATGGCCTCCCGTGTCCTTGTCTCTGGTCTCCCTCGGTCTCTCCCTCCCCTACCTCCGGGGCCTAGCCCTACCTGCGTCCCCTGCGTCGAGGGGCGACAGCGCGCCGCCCCTCACTCCTCCGAGTTTCCTCCGATTGAGGCTCTGCTACAAACCCTACACATGGACGTGTTGGGCCCCGCCCGCGTCCGTGGACAGGGGCACGAGCGTTACTTCCTGTTGGTGGTTGACGACTACTCGCGTTACACCACAATCTTCCCCTTGCGCAGCAAGGGTGACGTCACTGAGGTGTTGATCGACTGGATCCGCGCAGCTCGTCTCCAGCTCAGAGAGAGTTTCGGCTCGGACTTTCCTGTTCTGCGTCTGCACTCGGACAAAGGCGAAGAGTTTTCCTCTACCCGTCTGGGAGCCTTCTGTCCTGCACAAGGCATCCGCCAGCCTTTCACGCTTCTGGCCTCTCCACAGCAAAATGGGATTGCTGAGCGCCGCATTGGCATGGTCATGGACGTCGCTCGTACGTCCATGATGCATGCGGCTGCCCCCCATTTTCTGTGGCCGTTTGCAGTTCAGTACGCCGCGCATCAGCTCAACCTTCAGCCCCGGGTCTCCTTGCCAGAGACCTCCCCAGCCTCACGGTGGACCGGGAAGGTTGGCGATGCGTCTGCGTTTCGGGTCTGGGGATCTCGGGCGTTTGTCCGCGACTTGTCTGCGAACAAGCTGTCCCCCCGTGCTGTTCCCTGCGTCTTCCTTGGCTTCCCCCCTGACGCGCCTGGTTGGCAGTTTTACCACCCCACCTCGCGCCATGTTTTGTCCTCCCAGGACGTCACCTTTGACGAGTCGGTGCCTTACTACCGTCTCTTCCCCTACCGCACTGCGCCCCTCCCCCCACCGCCGCTCTTCCTTGCACCAGGTCCTCCCCCGGTAGACCCCATCCCCCCTTAGGGTCCTGCCCCGTCAGGTGTGTCCCAGGTAGACGCAGTCAAGCCTGTCGAGGTAGCTGTTGACTCTGGTGCTGCTAGAGGTGCTGAGCCTGCGGGTGCCGGGTCTGGGGGTGCTGAGACTGGGGGTGCTGCGCCTGGAGGTGCTGAGTCTGGGGGTGCGGAGCCTGGAGGTGCGGAGCCTGGGGGTGCCGAGCCTGGGGGCGCTGGGTCTGCTCGTGTGGCCGTCGACGGTGCTTCGTCGAGGCGAGAGCCACTCTCTCCACAGGAGCTGCGCGAGTGGTTTGCCCGCCACTGGAGACGCGCTGTTGAGACTGGGGGTGCTGCTGGGGCTACTGGAGTTGGTCCTGCTCGAGCTGCTGGCGGTACTAGTGCTGCTGGAGCTGGAGCTGCTGGGGGTGTTGGCGCTGGTGTTTCTACTGGCGCTGATGCGTCTGGGGGTGCTGCTGAGGCTGCTGGAGCTGAGGGTCCTACTGGAGTTGGTGCTGCTGGAGCTAGAGCTGCTTGGGGTGTTGGCGCTGGCGGTGCTGCTGGCGCTGGTGCTTTAGAGGGTGCTGGAGTTGGCGCTGTTGGAGCTGGAGGTGCTGCTGGCGCTGGTGCTGCCGCTTGGGGTACTAGTGCCATCCCTGCTGGTTCTGGAGGCGCTGAGCGGCCGAGGCCGTACTTCGTTCCGCTCCTAGAGCAGGTTCTTGGTCTCCCGCCCTCTCCTGGTCCTGCTCCTTCCTTAGAGTGTCCACAGCCCGCCTCCCCTCTACCTACTCCTTCTCCCTACACTGGTCCTACTGGAGGTCTTGCTGAGCGTCGTGTGCCTGCGTCTCGTCCTGCGTTGCCTGTTCGTACTGCTCACACTAGTGGTCGTACTGCGCGTACTCGTCCTCCTGCGATCCCCGGCACACACCAGATGACGCTGCGTCCTTCCACTGCTCCTCTGCGTGTCCCGTTGCCGTCTCCTCTAGAGTCCTCTCTTCCTACTCTTGTTGACCCGGAGTCTGACTCCCTTCGTGCTGCTAGTCCTTCGGTTAAGCGTCTCCTTGCTACTGTTGTCAGTGACCCTTCCTCTGAGTCCACTGCTGCGTCTGCCCTAGTTGCTGAGCTTGTCGACTTTGCTGCTCGCTGTCGTCTAGACTACGCTGCCATTCTCGTTGCTGAGTCTGAGTCTGTCTGTCCTCCGTCCGTCGGGGGTGAGTGTGCTCTTAGCACGGACGTCCTTGAGGACAGGCAGGAGGAGTTCCAGTGCGTTGCTGCTGCTTTGCCCCATCTCGTGTCCACGCTGATTGCCCCTGAGGGAGACCCGGATGCACCAGATATCCCGACTCCTCGATCGTACGCTGAGGCGATCGAGGGTCTCTACTCCTCTCAGTGGCAGTCAGCCATGGACGTAGAGATGGCTTCCTAGAAGTCCACAGGCACCTACATCGACGAGGTTCCCCCACCTGGGGCGAACATCGTCAGTGGCATGTGGATTTTCAGGGTGAAGCGGCCTCCGGGTTCTCCGCCTGTCTTCAAGGCGCGTTACGTGGCTCGAGGCTTCAGTCAGCGGCAGGGAGTTGACTACTTCTAGACCTTCTCTCCCACCCCGAAGATGACCACTCTTCGGGTGCTGCTGCACATAGCCGCTCAGCGCGACTACGAGCTTCACTCTCTTGACTTCAGCACAGCTTTCCTGCAGGGCAGCCTGCACGAGGAGATCTGGCTGCGCCACCCACCTGGCTTCACTAGGTCGTTTCCCCCGAGTACCCAGTGGAGCCTCTGGCGGCCAGTCTACGGTCTCCGCCAGGCACCCCGTGAGTGGCACGACACACTGAGGACTACACTTGCGGCTCTTGGGTTTGCTCCTTCTACAGCCGATCCGTCGCTGTTTCTGCGCACCGACACCTCTTTGCCGCCGTTCTACATCCTCGTGTACGTCGACGACTTGGTCTTTGCCACTGCTGATACTGCTGGACTCGCCCACGTGAAGTCCGAGCTGCAGAAGAGACACACGTGCACAGACCTAGGTGAACTGCCCAGCTACCTTGGCTTGCAGATCACGCGGGACAGAGCACAGCGTACCATTACCCTGACTCAGTCACACATGGTGCAGCAGGTCCTTCAGCGCTTCGGCTTCACGTACTCCTCGCCTCAGGCCACTCCTCTGTCTACTCGCCACTCGCTCTCAGCTCTGCCTTCGGATGAGTCCGTAGAGTCGAGTGGCCCGTACCCAGAGCTTGTTGGCTGCCTCATGTACCTGATGACCTGCACACGACCTAACCTTGCATACCCTCTTAGCATCTTGGCACGCTATGTTGCTCCTGGGAGACACCGACCAGAGCACATGGCTGCAGCGAAGAGGGTGTTGCGCTACGTGTGCAGTACGTCGGGCATGGGGCTAGTGCTTGGAGGGCGACGTCGAGTGGTCCTCACAGGTCACGCTGACGCTTCTTGGGCTGACGACCAGGCTCTGCAGCGGTCGTCACAGGGTTACACCTTCAGCCTTGGCTTCGGCTCTGTTTCGTGGTGGTCTACCCGCTCGTCCTCTGTTCTCAGCTCCAGCTGTGAGGCTGAGATCTACGCAGGGGCCATGGCTGCACAGGAGCTACGCTGGCTCACCTACCTGCTGACTGACCTAGAAGAGCCGCCTCGTTCTCCTCCAGTTCTGTACGTAGACAACAAGGCCATCTTGGCCTTGTGTCGGGAGCACAGACTGGAGCACAGAACGAAGCACATTGCTCTCCGCTACTTCCTGGCTAGTGAGCTGCAGCAGCGTGGTCAGCTCCGCCTCACCTACGTGGCCTCTGAGGCCGACACTGCTGATATCTTCACCAAGGCCCTTCCGCCTTGTGATCATCGGTGCTTCTGTACTTTGCTAGGTCTTGTGCCTACCTGGCCTCACTTGCTCACTTCTTGATCTTGTTTGTACTGTACTCTTTCTATACCTGCACTTGCTTGTTTACCTTTATATATATGATCTTGCATGTGAACTGGCCTTGTGGCCTTGCTCTTTTGCTCGGACTGTGTGGTGACTTTGTGATCCACCATGAGCTTGCTTTGCTTCGCTGGACTGGTCTTGTGACCACTTGTTCTCCCCTACTTTGCCCATGGGGGTGTGTCAGAACATTATAGCTTATACATCTGTGTAGGCTGTAGTGGGGTAGCCCATAAGGGGTACAACCCAATTAGGGTTAGTACTTGTACCCAACTGTTTCATAGTTCAATCATTCTTGTTCTAATTCTCACACGCCCGGGGCACGCGACAGGAGGAAATAGTCACGCGCCCAGGGTGCGGGACTGAAAGAACAGTAGTGGAAGCGAACGGTGGGCCCATGGGGTAACTAAAAAGAAACAGGCCAGGATCTTACGTGCTCTGATAGCATGTCAAAATAGCTAGTTAATCTTAAGAACCATGGCTAGGGTTTAGGCTAGGCAAGAGGGTGTCGAGAGAGTTTAGCAAAGGAGAAAGGTGGTTCACTATGAGCAAAGAGACAAGATATAGTGCAAGGGACAAGGGAATGAGGTGCATCACCAATGTAACACTACAATAACTACTGCTACAAGCAGTTTATACAAGAAATATATTTCAACAATAACAATTTCGAGGCTTAACAAACACTTCCTCCCTTATTAGCTTCTTGGGGGTGTTCTATTTTTGGGGGGTCTTTGTCAAATTATATGACTATGTCATAATAAAATGTAGGGTATAGTTTGTGTTACTTGTACCCAACTTTCTCGATAGTCGAACGATCCTTTCCCTTTACTATGGACATGGTATTAAGAGCAACATAGGTCCTTAGGACCGTTTAAGGACTGTTTTTCAGGGCCCACCAACCGTTTTCCGCTGGTTACCGAGTTACCCCACCCCTTCCCTACACTGCCCTACGTCGCGAGCCCTCGCGCTTGCCTCTGCTGGCCCTCGTACAGCCCGCTAGCAGCCCGCCTGCTGCCTCGTCAGCCCCGCGCGTAGCTTGCTAGCTGCCCTGTCAGGCCCGCGCGCCGCCCCGCAGCCCCCGCGCTGCGTTCTCCTGCCCCGCGCACCTCTCCGCAGCCCTCGCGCTGCTTTCTACGGCCGTCGACGCGGCCCCGCCCTGCCACTGTCGCGGCCCCGCCCTGCCGCCGACACGGCCTCGCCAGGTCGCTGCCGCGGCCCAGTCTTGCCGCTGCCGCGGCCCCGACCTGCCGGTGTCGCGGCCCCGCCCTGCCGCCGACACGGCCCCGCCTGGCCTGTGCGCTGCCCTGCACCAGCAATGCCGCCCCTGGAGCAGCTGCCCCTGGACCCAGAGCAGCCGCCCCTGGCCCCTGCAGCAGCCGCCCCTAGTGCAGCCGCCCCTGGACCCTCGAGCAGCCGCCCCTGGACCCAGAGCAGCCGCCCCTGGCCCCTGAAGCAGCCGCCCCTGGACTTTGTGCAGCCACCCCTGGACCCCGTGACGCCGCCCCTGGACCCGCAACGCCGCCCCTGGACCCCGTGCAACCGCCACTGGATCCCGAGACGCGCCTACATTTGGTGCAGCCGCCCCTACCTCACCTCGCGCCTGCCTTCGTGCGCCTACCCTGCCGCCGCCCGCCGAGCGCCGGCCCTTCTCGCCCGGCGAGCGCCTGCCCTTCCCACCACTGGTGAGCACTTGCCTTGTTCGCGCGCTGCCGCGCCATCTGCCTGTCTGCCTGCCTGCCTGCCTGGCTGCATGCCCGCCTAACTGCCTACCTACCTGCCTGCCTACCTGCCGCGCCTGCCCTGCCCGCGCTGCTACTACTGCTACTTCTGTTACTGCAGCTAGGCTGCTGCTGCTGCAACTGCTGCTACTACTGCTACTGCTGCTACTGGCGGTGGCTAGATGCAGCTCCAGCGACGTCCGCGCGAGTCTCTCACGCCCCAGCAGCTTCGTGAGTGGTACGCTAGTTGGGGTTGTGGCGGTAGCCGTCGTGGCGGTCGCCCTAGAGCTGGTCAGCCGGTAGCGTCTGGCAGTGGCCAACCGCAGCTGCAGTGGCATCCGCGCGAGACACTTACGCCCCAGCAGTTTCATGAGTGGTACGCTCAAAGTAGAGGGTCTTGGAGTACCGTTCGCTGCCCGTACGTCATTCGCACAGGTGATCGGGTTGGTCAGGATTGCGGGACGCTTGGTCACACACAGTCCCGCTGCTTCACCCATCTGAGCGACGCCTGGCGTACCGAGCTTGGCGACGAGGCTGAGCTCCCCACCTGGCTAGAGCTGCTTAGGCAGAGGGTAGATATCTTTGCTCTTAACTATGATGCTATTCTCACTGCCAAATATGCATTGCCTACTAGTGCTGACGTACCTGTTTCCTGTGCGTACCGCCTGACCCAGGTATAGAGTCTGCTGCTCTAGGTGCTAGTGCGTCTCCTGCTCTAGGTGCTGGCGAGGCTTCTGCTCCAGGTGCTAGTGAGTCTGCTCTCTCTTGTACTGCGCCTGCTGAGGCCTTGTACACCTTCACACTTGACTCAGGTGCTTCTCGCTCCTTCTTTCGCGACAGCACCACCCTCACGCCGCTCAGTCAGCAGGTTGCAGTCTCCCTGACAGAACCCTCTGGGGGTCCTGTCCTTGCGCACTCCTCCATGGTCCTGCCGTGTCCGGCGGTCCTGTCCGGCTCACTGTCAGGTCTTCACCTCCCCTCGTTCTCTACGAACTTGGTGAGTGGTGCTGATCTCCAGGACCAGTGGGTTGACCAGTTCACTCCTTGAGGTCACCGCGTGACCCACTGTACGTGCTCCCGGGCGGGCTGGCACCTGGCCACGTTTACCCGTGCGCCTAGCTCGAGTCTGTACACACTGACTACTGTGTCCCCTTAGGTCATTACGTCTGCGTCTGTGTCAGGTCAACTAGCGGCCCCCTGCTCGTGTCGCGCTTTGTCGCACCAGACCCTCCTTTGGCACCACCGTCTTGGTCACCCCTCGGTGCAGCGCCTTCGTAGCATGCACCGCCGTGTCCTTGTCTCTGGTCTTCCCACGGTTCTCCCTCCCCTCCCACCCTCGCCTGCTCCTCCCTGTCTTCCCTGTGTCGAGGGGCGGCAGCGCGACGCTCCTCACTCCTCGTTTCCCCTGACGACTGCTCCCCTGCAAACCCTGCACATGGACGTGTGGGGCCCAGCCCGCGTCAGTGGGCAGGACTGCGAGCGGTACTTCCTGCTGGTTGTTGACGACTACTCGCGTTACACCACCGTCTTCCCCTTGCGCACCAAGGGTGAGGTCCCTGATGTTTTGATCCCTTGGATCTGCGCTGCCTGTCTCCAGCTCCGCGAGCGGTTCGGGACAGAGTTTTCCGTCCTGTGTCTGCACTCTGGCAGAGGTGGGGAGTTTTCCTCCGACCTTCTGCAGAGCTTTTGTCGTGGGGAGGGCATTCGCCAGACGTTCACGCTTCCGGCCTCTCCACAGCAGAATGGGGTTGCTGAGCGCCGCATTGGCTTGATCATGGAGGTCGCTCGTACCTCCATGGTCCATGCAGTTGCCCCCCATTTTCTGTGGCCGTTTGCGGTCCGCTACGCCGCGCATCAGCTCAACCTCTAGCCCCGTGTCTCCTTGCCGGAGACCTCGCCCACACTGCGGTGGACGGGGGAGGTTGGCGATGCATCGGTGTTCCGGGTGTGGGGTTCTTGTGCCTTTGTCCGCGATACCACTACGGACAAGCTCTCCGCCCGCGCTGTTCCCTGTGTCTTCCTTGGCTTTGTCCCTGACGCACCTGGTTGACAGTTTTACCACCCCACCTCGCGCCGTGACTTCCCCTCTCAAGACGTCACGTTCGACGAGTCGGTTCCCTTTTACCGTCTCTTCCCCTACCGCACTGCCCCTCTCCCCCCCCCGCCACTCTTCCCGCTCTTGGTCCTACCCGAGTAGACCCCCTCCCCGCTCCCGGTCCTGCTCCTTCAGGTGTGTCTCAGGTAGACCCTCCTCCCTTGAGTGCGCCGGTTGAGGTCACTGGTGACTCAGGTCCTGCTGCGGGTGGTCCTGCTCGGGGTGTTGCTTCTGGGGGTGCTGAGCTTGGGGGTGCGGAGCCTGGGGGTGCTGAGCCTGGAAGTGCGGAGCCTGGAGGTGCTGAGCCTGGGCGTGAGGAGTCTGGGGGTGCTGCACCTGGGGGCGCTGAGGCGTCTGGTGAGTAGTCTCCTGGAGCGGCCGTCTTCGTAGTCGCTCTGCCGGTGCCTCGCCGCTGCACTCTCGTCGTCGTCTCCCTCTCTCCCCACAGCAGCTTCGTGAGTGGTACGTCCGCCGTTAGGGTCAAGCTCCTGGAGCCGGGGACCCTGCTGCGGGAGGCGCAGGTGTTGGAGGCACTGGAGCCGGCGCTGCCCCTCTCTCCCCACAGCAGCTGCGTGAGTGGTACGTTAGCCGCCAGGGTCGCGCTGCTGGAGCTAGGGGCCCCGCTGCGGGAGGCGCTGGAGCTGGTGACTCTACTAATGGAGTTGTTTCTACTGGAATTCCTAGAGCAGCTGGTCCTGGAGGTGCTGCTGTCGACTCTGAGGTTGGAGGCTCTGGAGCTGGAGGTGACAGCTCTGGGGGTGCTCCTGCTGGTGGCGTTGGAGCTGGAGGTTTTGGAGCTACTGCGGGTGCTGGCGCTGGAGGTTCTAGAGTTGTTGGAGGTGCTAGCGCTGGTGGCACTGGAGCTGGAGGTTCTGGAGCTGCTGCGGGTGCTGGAGCTGGAGGTTTTAAAGCTGTTGGAGGTGCTGGCACTGGTGGCGTTGGAGCTGGAGGTTCTGGAGCTGCTGCGGGTGCTGGCGCTGGAGGTTCTGGAGCTGTAGGAGGTGCTGGAGCTACTGGTGCTGGTGGCACTGCACCGCCGTGACTGTTCTTTGCTCCGCCGTCACCTTCGTCTCTGCCACCGCCTGGCTCCGTACTTCGCCAGGTTCTTAGCCTCCCGTCTTCTACTGGTCTTTCGTTACAACCTGGCTTACCGCTGCCTACTCCTTCTCCTTACACTGAGCTGATAGGCGGTCTTGCTGAGCGTCGTGAGCCTGCGTCTCATCCTGTCTCGCCTATTCGCACTGTCCGCACTAGTCGTACTGGTCGTCGTGTTCCTCGTGAGCGTCCGCCGGCTGTCCCTAGCACACACCTCATGGCCCTGCGTCCTTCCTCTGCTCCACAGTGTCTTCCCCTGTCGTCCCCTCCTGCGTCTTCTCTACCTGAC